GCGACTTCAAAGTTTAGCAACTTTTTTAACATTTTTAACTTGCTGCCTCCGCGCATACATTTTCCACGCGAAACGAGGTGCCACATGGGTTTACCACTTTCCACGCGTGGAAAGCCCACGCATGTATTTTGAAGGCACACTATGTGTCCAGTTTAATAATAATGGAGCCCCCCCCGCAGGGGGGCGGAACCTACTGCCTCCACGCATACACTTTCCACGCGAAACGAGGTGCCACATGGATTTACAACTTTCCACGCGTGGAAAGCCCACGCATGTATTTTGAAGGCACACTATGTGTCTAGTTTAACAATAGTGGAGCCCCCCCGCAGGGGGGCGGAACCTACTGCCTCCACGCATACACTTTTCACGCGAGACGAGTTGTCACATGGGTTTACAACGTTTCTGATTCTCTGAAGTTTCGCCAATGATGTTTATGTTATAACTTTGACGGGTATGACTTTATGGTTGTTTACATTACTTGAGAGCTGTTTTGGTTTGTAATATACTGAGTTAGTTCGCTCGTAATATACTGAGTTAATTCGAAAAAATATTTAAAAAGTTGCTAAACTTTGGAGTCGCAAATAATTCTTTCGGTATATGTCTTTTTTATCTAAAAGGAACCTTATATTTACAAAGTTTGACCTAAATCTGGAGCACGGACGTTTTTGGAAGTTTCGCCAAATGTTGATTTCATTAGACTTGAGAAATTTAAATTATAATATATTGAAATTTTTAAAATAAAATAATTATGTTCAGGAATTTAGAAAACTGAAAGTGTGAAAAATTATAAATTAAGATACATTAATAATTTCATAAATCAGAATATAAAGTGTAGGATTAAAATGCTCATTGTTGTAAATTATTTTGGTATTATTAGTTAATTTTATAAGAGGTATTGACTCATTCTAGTAAGAATGACTTTGTTTTGACTGGCATCTGTCACGAGATTAATTAATTCAAGTGCTATCTTATTATTTGAAGCTGCGTCGAAATTACGGGAAGCGCCGTTAGATCCGCTCGGTTGAAAATACTCGCTCGAGCGTGCCGAATTTCTTCCCCAACGTACCAATTACATGTCACTTAATTTATATGCAACACATGTAAAGCGCGTAATGTATGATTACGGTCCCGAATTTACTCACGTTGTCGTGCGAGCAGTCGCTAGCCTGTACATAACATCGTACCAAATATCTCTGGCCGTGTAATTGCATGTCCAATCACAGAATTGTTATTATTTCGCATAAACCGCGTCAAAGATCGTATATTTATATGCGCGTTAAATATTTCGCTTCATTTCTATCTCGAGTATTTCTAGCTACAAGTATATTAGAGATTGCATTAGATATAATATACCGGTTATACAGATCGTCGCAAAGTTGCAAATATTTTTAAGAAACATTTTTTCTTTATTACAACGTGTAAATTTTTTTTTTAATTTTGCGCCTCCAATTATTTTTTTATGCGTCAGAAATTTTTCGAACTTAATCAGTCACGCACACTAATTTTATACATCTATAGAGAATGTTTTCCACGATACACTATACTTCCTGCAGTTTATTATTTAAACGATCAATTCATCATTGTAGTCTCGGTTTATTTTTTTTTGCAAAAATCGACCGCTTGCTCACTCGTCTAACACAGATTTTGCGACATTCTGTATAATCGCCTTGTGTATATAACTACTGATGTATATACTTTGTATCGTCTATATCAACCGCTTCTTTCCGGTCCGAAATCTTATCCCGTCACAGTGAGCAAGATTAATTGCGTATTATTCGTTATCCGCGTCGAGCCGCGTCGATTCCAGCCGGCCGGATGATTAATCGATGTGGAAATCGAGCGCTTCCCACTTCGTTAATAACTTGGTAAAGATTCTCCGCCGCGTCTGTCCGAGTTACGATTTTGCCGTCAATTCGCATTGATTAATTGGTGTCCAACAGGTACGCTGATCGCCTGTAAACACTACCGGGAGCACCACGTTACGATTGTCTCGATTGTTCGTCACGAAAAGTTCGCATGACGCAAATTGTCAGCGGTCATCCCGATCATCGTCGCGATGTGAAACTAGTAGTGTCAAAATTTACAAAAAATACACTTAAAATCATTTTCTAAAAAAAGACACTGGTGACGTTTGGATAAACACGAACTAAATTGTATCTTCTATTATTTTTTTTTCTTATGACCGCAACGGTTTTGTTTCTAACAAATGTTTTCCAATGTAAACTTGTTTCTCTGTATGTGCAACATTCATGTTTCCAGTTACTGTTATTGTTACGTTTTGGAAACATTTAATAATTTTATAAATATTGGAAACTATTTTCCTAAAATATGTAATGCATTTCAAAAATAATTACTAATGTGCATCGTGATTGTTTTCTCCAAGCGCGATTAATTCGCTGAAAATCAAACCATGTTTGGTGAAGCAGACAACAATTGACATGTGTATATATATCTAATACGATTGTTTGTGTATCTTGTATCATGAACATGTCGATACATTTGTGAAATGTCCTGTAGAGAGTTTCTTCCTATTGTAAGGTAAGAACTAATAATGTACAGATCGTCTCTTTCTTTAATTCCCGACTTCGTTTTATCTTTCGTTGGCCGTTTTCGTATTTTTGTCGTTGGTGGCACAAGATGTATCGTTCGAAACATGCACTTTTCTGATTTCCAGAGCACTTTATATAAATGTGTGTATTAATTTATATGTGCGTAATTATTAATTAATGTTTCTTATAGTTCTTCCATAGACAATCTCGATTCTCGAGTTTTGCAATAAAATCTAATTTCCCGAAAATTATTGAGAAAACATATGCGAACGTGTGATCTTATTCTCTCGCGTTTGGAACACTCGTTATCACGGTAACAATTTGACGGGAAATAATTGCGCCGAAAATTGCATTGCCCGCGGGGTCTCATTAGTTTTCCGCTTCGCCGATTCCCGCGCGCGCAAAACGCGAGCGCGGATTCGCTTAAATGCGAAATCGTCGCACGCACGCCTCCGCGCGTGCATTCGAATTGTTTGATGTTCGAGGGAATGTGACGCATCGACGTTTGTAAGTTAATTCGTTTTCGTCGGTGATGCGCGCAGTATGCGCGTCACTTCGTCAATTTGTAGGCTTTCCCCCCGAGGTTATTGGATCGGTCGAAACGCCATGAAGCTCATCGATTTTTACGGTCGGTAGTACGGTATATATTTCTTCAAAAATCGCTGAAATCGGATTTTATACGCGCGTTCGAAAGGTTGAGCAAGGAAAACGAGGGGATCGTGAAATATTAAAATATCACTTTTTGCGTATATACTGATGAGTTTATAAAATACGTATATATCGTGATTTATTTAAATAAGTATAAGTTAGTTCAATGCAGTTTGTGCTTTGTATTACTACTAGGAAATTGTTAATTAGGAAACAGAAATTGCGATAAGTATAGGAGTTAATTTTTCTAGCATTATGAGCGAAAAAGGGTTTTCTATCTCAAGTAGAAATAAGCTTTAAATGATATACTTGCAATTATTTGCTGCTAATTAGGGAATCTACATTAAAAATGTATTTTACCAGGAAATAACAATTAAAATGAACAAATCGAAGGCATCACGTGTAATAGTATACGATAACAGTATCATAAATTAATTCAATGTACTAAAAGAGTGTCATTGCTTTTTGACTAAATAAAAGTTGCTCGTATGAAAGACTAACGAGTAACAATTTCAAAGGCGTAGCGTTGTAGAAAAGAACAATGGCGCGGTAGATCTCTATTAGTGCTTCATTTCCACATCCATCCACACACACACGTACATCGATCGCGCGAGTAGTATGGAAGTTTAGGAGGAGGTCCGTAGAAAAGCATTAGCATAGGCGTACCTAGCGTGCAACAATGTAGTGTGTGCTTGTGGTTGTGGATTTCAGCAGGCGTACAGTCAGTACATCCCGGCTACAAGGGCCCAAGTGTCCGGGGCCCAGGGTGGGCAGACGGGGGTCGCCATGGATGGCACTTACCTCGTCGAAGCCTCGTTCTGAAAAAGTCTCCCCTCGCGCACTGTAAAAATGACACCGTAAAAATCGAACCGGACCGAATAAAGAAAACAAAACAAAAAAAATACATAGCGAATACAAAAAAGTAATAAGTGAAAACACGACACCGCTGTGTGTCGCACGACGCATGAGCGATTACAGTAAACTGTCGAGAATTGCATTAGAGTATGCATGCGTGTCGGCAAAACAGTATAAATAATGTGTAAAACGCGCTAGAAATTCAGAGCTTTGCGAACGAGAACTGAGACACGCTCGACGTAAAGCAGATGCAATTTAGAGTTTAACCAAAGTGAAGGTAAAAAAGATTTATGTATTATATAAATACATTTTTCTCTCCGACACAGAGAGAGAAGGGAGAGAGAACGAGAGAGAAAGGAAGCGGCGGATACGTACGAGTAATCGGGCGAGAAATTGAATAAGAGGGAGAGAAACAGTATGAGAGAGATATATATCATATATATATATGTATATAGAGCAAAAATAAAAAATACGTATATATCTGTATCTCTCTCGACCTCGCCGATCGTTCGCGATCTAAGAAAATTAACCGCAAAAAAAAATCCACAAATAACACAAGCAAAGACACACACAGTCGCGCGAAATCCACAAAGTCAATCAATCAAATTCTTCTATTTCATCATTTCCGTGCCATCACCGACCCCCTACGACGTCGACGACGACGACGACGACGGCGACGACGACAACACGACGACGGATCATGACGCTGCCGTTTGGACCCGTCGACAACGATCGGCGCGCTGCCTCATCATCCTTCATCATCCTCTTCATCATCGTCCTCCGGAACACGGTGGGCGAAACCGCCATCGATGACAACGACGACGACGAAAACTTCGACGATCATGAAAAAAAAACAACAAAAAAATATACGAAATTTGTGGCGACGAATAACGTGATGGATAACGGCATTAATGCCTGATCGATCGATTGAAAAATCATGTCAATCAGAGCCTGTCCTATCAACTTACCTCGAACGAGAGCAAGGACAGAGTGGTGCTCATATACGGCGACCGTATACAGGTGCGAAAAAAGGTAAAAAAACCATGTTTGACCAACAATTGTAAAAAAAAAACGATGATAATGATAATGCTGATGACGATGAGGCTGATAAGATATCATACGTATATGTGGTAGAGTTTATGTGTGATGTATCAAGTGTCTGGATTCGCGCGCTTCCCTCCGTGCTCTGCTGTGACGTGAAGAACGTATCAGGATCCCCTCAGCTAACCCCATCCCTCGCAGTGCTCGATAATGCTTTTAAGAGTGATCAATCTCTAGATTGGCTTCCTCGGTGTCCGCTTTCACCCTCGAAAAAAAAAAAGAATCCTCTTTGCTTGCTGCGCTTATTTAGAGGTTTTGCATCCCTTGGAAGCTCATCGATATATATGAGGCTGTGCATATATACATATATACTACTTAGTGTGCAATTTGCTTCTTGTGGTTATGGATGTATGGCTGTCTTGCTTTCAAAAAGATGGTTGGACGCTTTTAGGAATATGCCAGAATTTTAACGATGGCTTTCCTGCGCTAATTTTGTTTCGAATATTTTACTTGATATTTATAGACGACTTTTTATAATTTTCAATCTTTTTAGTATTTTCAAATATATATATGAATAAGAATAAATGTGATGATTTTTTCACATATTTTTATTACTTTTTTGTTATATTTTTAAAATTACAAATGTATATAATTTGTATACTTAATTTGTTATCACACATTGATATATTTTTATTTGACAAACATTGATTTACAATTTTCTTAATGCATAAATTACGCAAGTTGCAACAAAACTTTCTCAAATTTGCGTTTAAGAACATTTTCTACTTTAATGTCGTTTTACAGAAGAATGTGCTTAATAAGAAATGTAATGGAAGTGCGAATTAATTATCGTAAATCTTTCGGTTGGTTCTCGAAATAGCTTGCTTAATTATTTTTTTTACATACTGGCAATTGACGATATTTTTCTTTTCTGTCGTTTTTTTATTAAATCTTTTTTATCATCGCAAAACTGGCAAAGTTTTTTATGAGATAACATTTATCAGCGAGGAAAATTCAGGAAGAATTTATTTCTCTTCCTCGCCGGTGAAGAGAAACCCTACGAAGTACTTTTTTACCTATTTGTGCAATTTGCTATGTTTCTAGTTTATTAATTATAGTTTTTTACGAATAGTAAATGCATACAAATAAAATATAAAAAAATGACTTAACTATCTCAAACAAACATATTATTTTATAAATAAAGAAGTCATACATTAGGTAATATAAACTGTTATTATTTGTTTAATTTAATTGTTTTCTATAATTTTATTTATATTGTGACAATAATATATATTTACGATTTAATTCTCTTGTTTCCGATAAAAAAATATGTGCCTAACAAGTCATTGCCTTTAAATTAATTATAACAATTTTGTGTTTTGCAATTAAATTGGAACCAAATATTTTGTATAATTTAGTATATTTATTTTGTAATTTATTTAATATAATATCAATCAAGTTTGAGCTAGATTTTTCTGATTATATGCACAAAATATAAACAGTTTAAATTACGGATATAAATACTAAATTTAAACATTGATAAATATATTGCTGGAAATATTACAATATAACATTTTTTATTTAATAGATAATAAAAAAATAGGTATCTATTTTAAAATTTCCAATAAATTTCTCTATCGTATTTTCCACTTTTTGGATCATATAAATTTAAATCATATGATCCAAAATTGAAAAATACGATAGAAATATATCAGAAATGATAGAATGGATATTTTTTTTTATTATTGGTTTATATCTGAATGTTATGGATAGAAATCTCTATTTGTTTATGAATAAAACGTATTCTGAGTTTATCGAGCCTCCTCAGAATTTTTGAAGTTCCGAGACAAGATTTTGTTTTCTGAAAGTAGGATACTAGCCTACTGCCCAACATCTCTTTGGAGGGGTCAGTTTCCTCTCCAAATGCAGAGTTGTCATGGCGAGATACTCTCGGTGTCTTTAGCCGGATTTGAACTCGGAATTTCGGCACACTAGAGCAGCGCACATCCTTCTGCGCTACTATCGCCACGTTTCTTAGTTATAAACAACAAAAATAAGGCTGTATGTAAAAATTTTTCTGAAGACATTTTATATGTAGTATACTTTATATAATCTAGAAAAACATATATAATTTTGTCTAGACAAAATAGCGATAGTTTATGAGTGAGTATATATGGAAAAGTAAAAACTAAAAACCACAGTGGTGTAAGTCAAATTTTTAAAAATATACAATTTATATATTGTACAGATTGCATCTATGCACGCGAAAAAAAATTTTTAAAAATTTGACTTACACCATTATGACTTTTACCCTTTCATATACAAAAATTAACTTATTAATGTATTAAGAAATATAAAATAGACATAGCGCGATAAAACAATTAATTGCTAAAGAAAAATGTAATAGATGCAAGTTTTCATAAAAGCACTTATATAATATTTACAATTTCAATCAGAAGTGTTTTTCATCATACCTAATATGTATGTTTCTAAGTCATCAATATCGAAAATTACTTGTTAAAAATTGTACAGAAATATCCGTGATAGGTGCCTAGATCGATTTCCGAAAATAGAAAAGAATAAGACAGAAGACTCATCATAAATTTTATAAATATTATTTAATTGCTAAAGAACTGCAAAAGAACTTTTTTAATTGCTCACATGTACTAACTTTTACTTTTATAAACATATGAAAAAATTAGAGCTTTATTTTAAATGTTTATCTATTTAACATAATTATAACAAAAATTTCTTCTTGTCTTGTTACTTTGACTTTTCTGTGATCTTTTAATAATACAACTATAATCACACATACATTTACAATGTATCAACCTATAGTTGACTAGGACTTCTACATTAATTTGTCTATATAACTCTGTCTATATTTGGAAAGAGTAATTCTAAAAATATGGTGCTGCTGATCATTCTGTTTGTGTTTATTCTAAATGCTGCTTCTCACTAAAAACGCAAAGTTATTTTTGTTTAAGGTGATCCTAAAGCCGTGATTCTAGCCGGTTTTTTTCTTAGCACTAATCTTTTAATTGGCTTTATAGAAATGCAAAATTTTTGTCTAGAATTAAAGTACGCATCAAAATCTAGGTCATGGTGGTCGAATTTATATCGAAAACGAAAAAAAATTAATATTTTTGGTTATACGTGACGACCACCACATATAAATTCGACCACCATGACCTAGATTTTGATGCGTACTTTAATTCTAGACAAGAATTTTGCATTTCTATAAAGCCAATTAAAAGATTAATGCTAAAAAAAAAAACCGAAAAAAACCGGCTAGGATCACGGCTTTAGGATCACCTTAATATTTATTACAGACATAGTTATCGTTTGTTTTAAATATTGCTTTTCTCAACAATTTTACTCATTTTTATATATATACTATTAAATATATTTATGATTTAATTATTACTATCGACATAATGGGAAATAAATGTAAAAAATATAGTATTTCTTTCACGTTTTTTCCTTTTTAAAAATATTCTTACATTCTTATATTTAATTAAATTAGAGCACGTTACACAATTCACTTTTCACATATCTCAAATTTTAAAAATAAATTTTAGAAATAATATTTAAATATACCACAATGAGTAAATGAATTGTACATACAAATATTAGACGTAATTAAATCAAGTATGACCAAAATAAATAAATAAATAAATATGATAAGCGTGTGTCGTGTTCAGACCTAAATTAAAAAAAAACAATATTTGTTTTAACCAACAAATTCATTAAATTGACTTAACTGGCGACGAATATAAATCATCGTTCTGACAATTCGACCATTGGTTTTGGTCAGATTAATCGTCAAGACATTTCGACCATGGGTTTTGATCTTTTTAAAAAGGAGGATTAATCTGACCAAAACCAATGGTCGAATTGTCAGGGACGATTAATATTCGTCATCAGTTAAGTCGATTTAGTGAATTTGTTGGTTAATCATCACTGGTAATATACCACCTATCTTTGTTGTTTATTATTTGTTTTCATTATTTTATTATATTCTGAGATTTAGTAACGTCAAGTTTTTTTGCATTAAATATTTTTTAATTTTAATTGAATATTATATACACTTAAAATTTAAATATCTTCTATTATCCTGGTAGGTTTAAAAGTGTTTAATTTTTTAAAACGTTTATCATATTTTCTCTTTTTATTTGCAATTTCCTGATTTCAACACTTTTTTGGAAAAACATTAAAAAATTTTTTTAAATTATGAAATGTTAAGTAACACTTATTATTCATTGAAACATTCTTCTTATAGAAATCAATACCATTTATGTTACCATGCACAATTATTTTATATTTTTGATTAGATATATTAAAACAATTTTCAATTGTACAACAGTTTCTTGTATCTGCACGCACACTTGGCGACTTTTTTAAATATATTTTTTTAAAGGTGGTTTTTTAATGATTTTGTATTTTACGTGAAAAGTGCACTCATTGCAATTATTAATCCAAAGAAATATCGGGGAGCTATCGCATCGTTAGTTTCTGATGAAATCTATATTTCAGCATTGGAATTAGGGCGCTTTACTGTCCTCGTAAAGCGCGCGTAAAATTTCGCTAATCTGATCTTGTTGGTGAATACCAAAATTAATGACAGACATTAGCGCTATGATGCGCCGACCTTGCACTTTTTTTTTCTTTACAGCATAACGTTTCATCACCATGCAATCTCTGCGGTCCCCTGCGATCTACAATATCCTTGTCGCACTTCTCCTTTTGTTTAAACTTCGAGCACAAAATAGGAGTTGGTCGAACGAGAAGGGCCGTAAAGGAAAAATTGCGCTGTTTTTTTTTTCAAAATCACCCTCGGATTATATTTTCTGCTTTCAGCCGTTGGTTTGCTCATTCTTTTTGTGAAATTTGTCTGCTTAGATAAAATTTTCCCGTTTACACTTTTTTGCAAAAAAAAGAAAAATTGAATACCATTAGCGTAAAAATCGCGTGTTACATTCTTTAAAACT